AAAAAAAAAAAAAAAAAAAAAAAAAAAAAAAAAAAAAAAAAAAAAAAAAAAAAAAAAAAAAAAAATTAAAAAAAAAAAAAAAAAAAAAAAAAAAAAAAAAAAAAAAAAAAATCGAAATTTCGAATGTCATTTAATGCAAAACGAAAAATCATTTTTTGTATAGCCTTAATAATTTAAGTACTGTTGAATTTTTAAAACTTTGAGCAAAGTTTTTCTGATCGAATTCGATAAAATTTTTTATTGGCTGATTTCCGACCATTTATCATGAGATTTTTTCAAATCCGATAACCTCCCAAAACCGATACAGAACCGTCCACCATGCATACCGGTTTTGAGAGAGCCAACAGTATATTTAAAAAATATATAAATATATATTTAAAAAATATCCAAAGTGTCCAAATTTACTGCCCACAACTGTCCCGTGGCAACACTGGACATGAAGGCATGCCTCGACCTAAGGGCATGCCCAATTTTTTACCCGTGTTCTGAACTCTACTGACGATATTTTAAATAAACCCTAATAAATAAATAATAACTTTTGGGCATTAATAAATGATTATACATTATAAAATGTGCAAAAGTAAATACTACCCAAAACTTTCAAATAACTTATGAAATATAGGTCCTGTAACTTTTGCTTACAACAGATATCAATTTTCATATCTTGTTTTAATCTTGCAACCATTTGAAGACAAAAAAATAACAAATATATTTTCTGTTCTGTTCACTAATGGTGCAATTTCTATTCAAATCATAACAAAAAAGTATCAAAACATACCTCTTAATATATAAAATTTTTAAAACCCTGCCACGAATATCTATCTGATTTACAAAATTTGAAAGATTCACCCTATTGTATAATGCACATGTAAACAATGTTGATATTAAGCTCCTTCTTAATTGGCAAACCTAAAAATGATCAAGTTCATTTATGGGCAAACATCATCACATTAACTAAAAAAGATACTATATATTTGTTTACTTGTCCTGTTCAATACATGCTAAAGAAAATCCAAACTTGTATAATTTTTCTTCAATTCACATATTGTAATACAATGACCAAAACCAAAGAGGATGAAAGACGGATCGTTAATTCTTCCCAAGACTCAGAAGACTTTGATTCGCCAAAATTCGTATACACTCTAAAAATTAACTCTCAATTACCTCCCTCAGGTTTTTTGCATTCAGTGGTCATGATTATTTTGGTTGCGGTCATGATCTAAATTATTTTAATTGAAACCAAATGGTTGCAATTATTTTTTAATGAAAGTACCACTATTATTAGTGTTATCATCGGCCCTGGTAATGCATCTGATTGGACCAATTATTGACAATACTAATAATTAATATACTTGCTTCGAATTTTCATATCCGAGTGCACCGGAATGGAACATTGAGCACAAACCGCGTAAAAATGTATCCAAATTCGAGGATAGAACCCTAATAACTGACAACGAAAATTCCTAAAAAATTATAATAAATAAATGGTGCTACAGTGCGGACAGCATAAACCAACACCTTTTTTTAGTAAAATGCGCCAAATTTAAAATTACATAATCAATTTATCAATTTTGATTGGGTAATATAATTTAATCAATTGTGATTGGCCAAAAATAACATATGAGTTTCTTTTTTTTATACATTAAACGCCAAATTTTCAATTTCTTAGTTAACTTCTTAAAATTAAAATAAAG